ATCGCTCTTTTCCCCAGCAGCATCATGCATCTCAGACATTTCCTATTATCTGGTGCCCTACACCACGCGGTACCAGCCTGTATACGCGTGTTCTCGTGCCAGCTTGTGCAAGCTGGCTGTGTCCCAGGCAGGGCTCCCATGAAGCCTATGCTGGTCAGTGCTTTCGCCAAAGCCTTTTTGACTGAGCAGGATCTGTTCATCCTTTGAATTCGAAGATGACCACAAATAGATGTTGTTATGACTTGTGTGCGAGTTGGACTGAAGTGAGGGAAAGTTGTGCAGAATCACGCTCGCTCTCCTCCAAGCCGGTCTGAATCCAGTGGCACAGCAGGGTCGGGACGTCTGCAGACAAGTCTGGATGCAGAGGATGGGCATCGGGTCCCGCTGCACCCAAACGGATGCCCCACACTGTCCACGTCCACGTCCACGTCCATAGGGATGGCAGCTCTTGCCATCTACTTTCACAGCTGAGGAGGTGAGCATAGCTGCTTGGCCACCTGATCTGCCAGAGAGGACTTTCCAGGGGAGCCAGGTGTAGCCGTCCACTCTGGTCAACAGTCTGGCCCTGCCCTGCCAAGGGGTCACCCACCGACGAGGTGGAGGGGCAGGAGGGACCGGGTCGCGGAGGATGAGGGAGGACGTGATTTCAAGACGACGGGGACCAGTGGCTTGACAGCGCAGCCATTCAGCCAAACTAACGTAGGTTTGGGTTGGATCTCTGGAAACGCTTCTTCCCCGACAGAGCAGGGAGGCCGTGGGACAGATGCCAGGGAAGGGAGGACTCTCCATTGCTGTAGATTTGCTTAGACAGGCACTGGTGGGGGATGATCTAGGCATACTGATGCCTGTGCTCTGCTGTGGGGATTTTCCAGGCTTCTGGGCTTTGCTGGTTGGTGCATGGGGCTTGGAAGGAATTTTGTCTTCCCATCTTGTTGCTGTGTGTCAGGGTTTTCTTTTCCTCAGAAGCGCTGGGGGTTGGCCACAGCAGAGCCTGGGGCTTTTGATGCCAATCCTTCTGACTTAAACCCACAGGTCTGACTTAAAAGCAGAGGTCAGGAGGGAATCTGCCCCCAGGATCAGATTGGTGCAGACTGCTGGTGGGGGCAGGTTGCCTTCCTCAGTCGTGCGTGCAAGGTCCGCTTCCTTGGATCTCTCCTGCGTATATTTAACACCCTTTGTTGGCTGCCGTGGTCCCCCTGGGTTATGGGGCAGGGTCGGGTGCGAGGTCTGGTATGGTGTCAGGGTTGACTGCATGGTTTTGCTCAGAGGTTGTCGAGGAAGAGACCAGCGGAGACTCTGGCAAGGGTGGTTTCGGCGACGGAACTGACAGCTGGAGCTGGGGGAGCAGGGTGGCGTGCCCTTGAGCGCAGAGCGGGACTGGGGGTGACACACGTCCAAGCGCGGGGCTTTTCCGAAGGAAGGGGCCGAAGCTGGTCTGTGCAGCGAGAGGGTGTGAGGATGCTCGTGGGGGGCAGAGGTGGTGCTGGGGGAAGGCCCGTAATCCCAGGGGTGGGAGAGAGGCAGACCCAGGGCTCCCCCCTGCTGCGGCCTCATCCTCACGTCCTGGTACCCTGATGCCGCAGCCCCGGCCTGGAGGGACCCCCCCCCGGAGGAGAGAGGGACTCCCCCACATCCCCTCCAGCAGCACCTCTCCGGCCAGCGCCCGGCCCCACGGCTCCTCGGCCGCCTGGCTGCTCCCTGCCGTGCCAGCGAGACCTAATTAAAACCGTCCCTGGTGCTGCTTTCTCCACCCCAGAATAGAAAGTGCCGCCCCCACCCCGTGCTGGAAACCCGTTCCCAGCCCAGAACAAAGGCCAGACGTTCCTGGCACGGGGAGGCCTGGCCACAAGAAAGCCGGGCCCAGCATTATTTATGTTGTTTCCTTTCTTACGCGCCTGCCGCGTGTGGGGCCCTTGCGTGACGACACCCCGGCCCGGGGTGTAAACAAGGCGGGGAGCCCGGTCCCAGCGACTCCCTGGAGCCTGCTAGCTGGGAGCAGCATCCTGGGCACAGGGATACGGGCAGGGGGCCGGGGGGAGGATTCCCATCACAGCGTCCTCGAAGGGGGCAGCCCTGGGGCAGGAGGCGCAGCACGGCCGCCCCACCGCAGGGAGGGGAAACTGAGGCCGTTGCTTGTTGTTATTGCCCTCACGGTGACTCAGGGGAGACCTGCTGCTCCTCTTCGGCTCTACAGCCAGCCTTGCCCCGATGCCCCTTCCCCTCCTGCGGGAGCCCAGTTGTTCTCCCACAACGAGCTCTGTGACCGCGGCATCCGGCAACTCTTCCTGTGCCACGCAGTCGCTGGGCAGTTGCTCCGCACACCTGCTGCTGCCGAGGTGCCCGACAAAGTTGCTTGGTGGTGGCTGGGCAGAGGTCAGCTGGACAGGACAGGCTAGGATGGGACGGCTCCTGCACGACTGTGTCCATCGCCGGCACCCGAGGCCCGTCGCTGCATCGGACGCCAAGGAAATGTCACGGGGCAGCAGGATGGAGAGCAGAGAGGTGGTAATGCTGAGCGCGGTGGCAATGGTGTGTCACTGGTCAGTCACCCTTTGGTTGCAGTTATCCCACCGCTTGCATGTTTACCCAACAGCAACGCTGCCTGGCCCCGATTCCTCTAGCTCGCTTTGAGAACAGCACGTGGGACTGTGTCTAAACATGGCTAATGTCCAGGTGTGTTACATCCACCTCGCTGGTTATCAAGGTGGTGACCACCTCCTTCTCCTGCTCCAGATGTTTGTGTTGCGTAGGCCACGAGGCAGACCTGCAGCAGCAGGAGCCAAAAGCCTGCAGGGCTGAAGTTTTGTCCATCTACTCAGGACCATCCTGACGTGGACAGAACCCACATGAACTGCTACAGTACGTACGGGAAGTGTGTATAGAAGTGTGTATAAAGGGGTGAAATAGAAACAGGCTTTGGTTTGGGTTAGGCCTGCACCTAGGGTGTTTGCCTTTCTAACGTGTAAAGGCGGGACACATGCCCTCCTCTGCTGGCGGCACGGCTGGAGCAGAGCTGAGTGGGGCAGGGGCGGATGGGGGCTGCCCGCTGTGGGCTCCCCACCTTGCTGGCTTTCCCACAGGAGCCCTGTGCTGGCCGTGCACCCCCCGCCTCCCTGGCAGCAGTGTGGGGCACAACTCCACACCATGGCATGTGTGCAGGTGTGCACATGCACATGGTGTCCTTGCGTCCCGCTCCCAGCAACCCCTTGCAGGCTGCAATGCTGCCCACCTGCAAGGGGGAACCCCGCTGTTTCCTCACAGATCCCTGAACAATGCTGCAAATTTGGGACAAATGCTGTCCTGCAGTCATGTAGCCTGGGACCAGGACTCAAGTTTCCTGTTCTGGGACTGTTCTGCCCAATTAGGGATGGGTGGTCATCCTACTTGCATGACCCCAGTCTGGGCACCTGGCTGAGAACATGGACATGGCTGCACGGAGCTTATGCTCATTAGATGGCAGCTGTGTGCCTATTTGAACTGCGTTTTGGTGGGACCTGACAAGCCCTTGGAAGCAGCAAGAACAATTTGCAAAGTGAATATGTTCTAAGTCACCCTGGTAAGTCCCGGGTGCTCAGATCAGGTGGCCTGGGTTACCGTTCTCCAGGCCTGTGCTTTCTCCTTTTGTTAAATAAAGGGCACCGTTAGCACATCTCTAAGCCTCTGGGACCCACCTGCCATGTACAACTGCAAACATCATTGCCAGTGGTGCCCATGTCTCGTAGGCCAGGTCCTTCAGCAGACTGATGTGAATTCTGTCAAATTTAGTTCATTAAATGAGTAGTTCTCAATGGTTCAGAGTCTGACTGGAAGGAAGTACCGAGTGGTGTTCCTCCCAGGTCTCGTACAGTTCAGCATCTTCACAGATGACCTGAAGGATGGGACTGAGTGCAGAGTTATTAAATTTGCACGTGACCCAAACCCGGGTGGAGCTGCAGACACTCCGCAGGCGGGGCTAGAACGCAGAATGATCTTGATTAACTGGAGAAATGATCCAAAATTCACTGGATGACATTAATGAAGTGCAAAGTCCTGCACTTGGGATGGAATGATGTCATGCACAAATACAAACTGAGGGAGAACTGGCTAGGCTGCGGTACTGCAGACAAAGACCGGGGGTTATAGTGAACTGTAAGCTAAGCATGAGTCAACCATGTGCTTTTGTTGCAGAAAAGGCAACAGCATCCTGGGCTGTAGTAATGGGAACATTGGCTGCAAGTCAAGGGAATTGATTCTTCTACACAATTCAGCTCTGGTAAGCCCTCGCCTGGAGTCCTGTGTCAGTTCTGGGCATTGCACTTCAAGAAGGACATAGATAAATTGGAAAGAGTCCAATGGAGAGCAACACAAATGATTCAAGGTCTGGGAAACATGATTTACAAGGAAGGGTTGGAAGAACTGGGATGAGTTACTCTGAGGAAGAGAAGACTGAGCTGGAATTTGATAATAATCTTCAAATATCTGAAGGGTGGTTATCAAGAGAATGGCAATCAACTCTTCTCTGTGGCCATAGAAGCAAGAGCAGGAAGCAAGGGTCTTAAATTGCAGCAAGGAAGTTTAGGTTGGACACGAGGAAGACCTTTCTGACTATGAAGACAGTTAAGCATTGGGACATGCTACCCACAGAATCGGTGCAATCTCCATCCTTCCAAGCTTTTAACAGCAGCCCAAGACAGACGTTTGTCAGGATGGTTTTGGCAGGGATGATCCTGCCTTGAGCAGGGGGTTGGACTCAATGACATGCTGAGATCCCATCCAGCCCTATTTTTCTATGATTCTGAGCTTACGGACAAGAGAAAGGCAGCTGATTTAATCTACGCTGGGGTCCATATTTTGCCAGATGGGAAATTATTAGCTAACCTGGAGACAATGGGGGTTAGCATCAGAACTGTAAAATGAATAAAGAACTGGCTAAAATGGAGATGATAATGGATTGTTCAGAAAAGGAAACTATTAGCTTGGAGGGAAACACCAGCAGCGCGATCCTCAAGGCATGGTCTTGGTTCTGATCTTTTTAATTTCTGATGTATTTGGTTATTGTTTTCTTGAATGCCATTGGCCCAGCACGTGTGAGTACACTGATGAAATAGGGGAAATAGGTCTGATCTGCATACATTTTGGATGACTTCTTCTCTTAATATTTAACTCAAGCAAGTGTACTATTCATGGAATCAAAGACAACCTTTTTGTCACAGTTATCTTTACCAGACCAGGGCAAATCAAATGAACCTTAGCTTTTTCCTTAAGAAAAGGTCCAGGAATATCTGAAGAAATGCTGACAGTGATGATCTGAACGTGTGAGCAAGAAGTGTGAGAGTGCTGGAGGCTGGATCGTCATTCACAGCAGGAGTGCGTAGGCAGTTCGTCATCTTCACCTCCAGTGTTGTCCCACTGCAGGGTTGAAACAGGCTCTTCAAAGCTGCCTCTGCGATCTTGCGCTTTTCCTATTTTTGAAGCCACCCTTGTGGGTTTCAAGGCAAGGACCTCAGAACAGCAACGGAGTGGGTTGGCGAGGGAGATGTCCTAAACCAGTAGCTCTCAATGTTTCTAGACTCAAGGTCCCCTCAGAAAATTGCCAGCTCTTGGCTTTCGTTTGATTTTTGACTGCGGGAAAAACACAGGAGCAATCCTTATGCTGCGAAGAACTTAGGAAAACTGCAGCAGTCAGAATGCTTGTGACACTTTGGATTCCTGTTTGAAATTCCCTTGCTTATCTTGTGAACACACATAGGTGTTTGCATACCTCACAGTATTAATGCTATGCAGCATCCATGACAGCTTCAGACCATGCTCACAGCACCTCAGGGTGCTGCAGCAGCTGCTTGAGAATCACGGGTCTACGATGACCCAAGGTCATGCTTGGAGCTTTCATTCAATATGGATTGGGCCACGTTACTGGGGAGCAAAAAGCGAGGTGCCCTGATGTGCTCAGGAGGTCCCAGGGAGGGTGGAGCAAGCTGCAGTCACACCGGCGCAGGGTATGGCTCTGTGCTGAAGAAAGGCACATCTGAAGGGGATTTGGTAGCAGCCTTCACCTCTCCACAGGGAGGCTGCAAAGAGGATGGAGCTGGACTGGTCTCAGTGGGGACAAATGACAGGACAAGGAGCAATGGACTCAAGTTGCAGCAAGGGAAGTTTTGGTTAGATATATGGGAAAACTGTCTCACTGGGAGGGTGGTGGAGCACTGGAAAAAGGTTTTCTAGAGAGGTGGTGGAAGCTCCATCTTTGCAGGTGTTTAAGGCCCAGCTCAACAAAGCCGTAGCTGGACAATGCAGTTGGGGCTGGTCATGGTTTGAGCAGGAGTTTGGACTAGATGTGGTCTCCCGAGGTCCCTTCCACCCTCATTGTCTGTGATTCCATGATAAAGGCTGGCACGTTGCTTGGAGGAAGTCGATGCTCCTGCCCTTCTGAGGCCAGTCCAGAAGGTGAGACGGAAGTCCTGTGGCCTACAGCAGCCTAAGCAGCCAAATGTCCAGCAGGTCCCCTGGGATTCCCCTTGGAGCAGCCTGCCCCGATGCTGCTCCAACAACCCACACACCCGAAAGAGTTCAGCTGTCTCTGCCCTCTCTGTATTGAAACCTGCCTACTCACTACTCATTCTTCTACAGGTGTGCAAAACTGACCTTGTTTCCTGGGACAAAATCAGGGAGTCTGGATTACTGGAAGACCTGACATGTGAGACAGGAACTCTGGCAGCACCAATCTTCAGTCCCACTATCAGTTTGGGTTGGCACGCTGTGGCTAGAGGATAGCAAACAGAAAAAACAAGCCAGGCAGCTCCAGGCCTGTGTGACCGGATGCAAGACTGTGCAGCGTCACAGAACACATACTGCAAGAGGGCAAGATCACAGTGGCTTTGGGGACCCCTTGGATGACTTCTGCCCACATCCTGGTCCCAGCTTGGCCCCTCTGCTGCCTAGGGCGCATTCCCCAAAATACAAAAGCCTAGAGCCACTCCCCAAAATGCACAAGCCCACCATTTGACTTTGAAGTCCTCACAATTGCTCCTTGCACTTCCTAGCCTTGCGTGTGGCACTGAGCCATGAGTCCCTGCCTCTGCCTTGCCAACAATGCTGCCTTGATGGCTCACTTATCAAATTTCCCCCTGAGCTTTCTGCCATGTCACCCTCACGCATGGAAGGAGCTCCCAGCACAGCCACAAAGCCATATTATCCTCCCAGCATCTCAGAAACACTTAGTCATGATGCACACAATGACTAGGCCGTTGGCTGCTGTAACTGCAGCTCATCACAGCAGTCACACAGTCCTTTTTCTTTCTTGGATCGGCTCTAATTGGGAGTTGTGGGGCAGGTCCCATCCTTGCCTTGGGTGCAAACAGATCCCTCAGAGGACCTTCTCCGTGCTACTGAAGCACAAACACAAATGTCAGGGCTGTCCTCTACTCCAAGAACCGTGCTGGAGATTAACTGTGCCCAACAGTTGTGGCACTGCCCCTGCCACATTTTGCCAGAGCGCCTGCTGTGGCCATGGGAACAAACCTGCCACCTCCCACACCGCAGGGGCAGGAGAGCCGCAAGCAGACTGGAGGGTGGAAATCCAGCACACGAAAGCCCCCCAGAGATGGTGCTTGTGTGCTGGGCAAACACACAGCTGCTCTGGTCCCAGTGAGGTTGCTCCCAAGCACAGCCCCGTGGAAGGGATGGGAGGCCACTGCTGCCTGGGAGTGCTGGATTCTCACTGCCAAGCACAGCCCCTGGCTACAGCGGAGCTCCTCTGGCAATGCTCCTCAGGCTCAATCTACTTCCAGGCTCCCATCTGGGTCCCGTGGGTGCAGTCGCACCCTCCCCACCCCTCGACCTAGCCCTTCCCGGTCTGCCTGTCACTCCAGCACCTCCGTGGCCGCGCCCATGCATGGCAGGGCCCTGCCTGGCCGCTTGCCGTGGACCTCTCCCTATTACTCATTTGGGGTCCTTTGACGTCAAGGGTGAGGTCAGGCAGGGCCACGCCTGCCCCTTCCCCGCTCACACAAAAACAAAGCGCTATAGATAGCTGTGCTGCAAGTGCTTTTCATTACAGCCCCCCTGCCCGGGGGTGGTGGGAGAGGCTGAGGCCTGGCGGCCAGGCTGTGTTTTCCGTTAGTCGGGGGGGAGCTGTGCATTCCTCACGAGCTTCGAGTGTCGCGCAGAGCCCCAGGGGGTCTCAGCAATGGGGGAAGGGGACTACGCACATCTGAACATGCCCCCCACGGCCTGCGATGTCCACGCCAACGGGAAACATCAGCTGCACAGCGAGGCCCACGCGGCACGCAGCGCCAGCCCCTCTCAGCACAGCACGCACGAGGCGACTCCACCTCCCCGGGACGTTCTGTGCACGCGCCTCTCCCTTCCTGCACGCAGACCCGCAGCACCCCTGCAGCTCTCCCTCCGCCCTACAGACCCCAAAGGGACCCTCAGTGCCTCCGCACTGCTGCATCAGTCCCGGCTACCACTGTGGGAACACGGACATGGCTCTGGCCTCTCCTCATATGCGCATATGAGCTAGCGGGGCTGATGTGCCAGCACGACGTGGCTGGTACCCAACCCTGCTTTGCTGCAGCATCATGAAATCTCGGCTCCACCCCTCCCTCCCGAGCTGGACCGCAGTCAGCTCGGTGACGAAGAGCGGCTGGCACAGAGGGAGCCTGACGGAATGGGATTGGTCTCTCCCGGAAAATATTACATGTGGGCACAGCAGATGGAGGAGTGCGCAAGTCACCACGCTGGATTAAACTGCTCATGCTAGTCAGGGCACAGCTGGGCCTCCTGCTACGGGGGCGATCAACATGCAGCACGGGGGCCACCGCTGCCACAGGCAGCCTTTGTGCTAGACCGGGGATGGGGCAGGGAGCAGGGCAGTAGAGCAGGCAGGGAGCGGGCCCCCGGCCCTGCCACTGACCCTGCAGCTCCACGCCCTGCCACTGACCTTTCAGCCCGTCCTTGTGACCCCAGACCCTGCCACTGACCCCATAACCGACCCCTTGGCCCTAGACCCTGTGACCCCACGCCCTGCCACTGACCTTTCGGCCCGTCCTTGTGACCCCACACCTAATACTGTGACCCCAGACCCTGGCCCCATGACCGGCCCCTAGACCCTGTGACCCCACACCTGATCCTCTAACCCCAGACCCTGCCACTGACCCCGTGACCCCATAACTGACCCCTCGACTATACACCCTGCGACCCCACGGCCTGCCACTGAGTTCTCAGCCCCGGTGCTTGTGACCCCGGACTCTGCCCCCGTGGCTGGCCCCTGCACCCTATGATCCCGTGACCCCCCCCGACCCCGTGACTCCTGCTGCTGCCACTGAGCCCGGAGCCCGCGCACGACTCCCCCCGCCCGCAAGGGCGGCTCCACGGCCCCGGCCGCTCTAGCCCCGCGGAGGTCGCTCTCTATGCCGCTCGGCAACTGGATAATCTCGGGCCTGCCGCTCTGCACCCGGAGACCCGGAAGTGGGCTGCCGGAAGCGAGCGCAGGCTTCCTGTTGCTAAGCAGCCGCGGCTTCCGGCATGGGTCCAAGGCGGGCGCGCGCGGCGGTGAGTGGCGGGCCCGGGGGTCGGTCATCCTGGACCGGTGCGAGCTCCCTTTCCCCCGCGCAGGTGCAGGGCACGAATGACAGCAGCGTGGCCAGCAAATGCTCCGCCGCCGCCCGCGGCTACGTGCAGGATGGCTTCCTGCGCTGCTTCGTGAGCAAGACGCGCCGTCGGGCCCCGCTCGTCCACCGGTGAGGCCTGGCGCCCCTCGGCAGGGGCACTCCTTCCCCCGGGGGGGGCAGGTCGCCCGCCCGTTTCCGCACCGGGTGCTGCTTTGCGCCGCGCGCTCAGTCCCGAGTCGGGGAGAGCTGGGTAAGCTGAGCGCGGAGCCGCTGAAGGCAGGTGACAGACTCGCCCCGGGTGAGCACCAGGCAGGATAAAAGGAGAGCAAGGAGGACCTTTTGGGGAGATATGGAAGTGACAGGGCAGGAAGGTGAGGCTTTATTTTGCTGAGCTGAGTCCCAGGGTTGCGTTTTGTTCCCCAGGGGTTACTACGTCCGGGCCCAAGCCGTGGATCGCTGCGTGCGAGGGTTCCTGCTGCAGAGCCAAGGCTGCCCCCAGAGACAGGTGAATTCGGAGGGATGGGGACAGGGATGGGACGGGGTCGGGGAGACTTATGAGCGGTCTGTGCTCTGTCGTGTGCCTGGGACCTCTTCCCGGGAAGACTCGGCAGGGCCACGCGTCTGGCAGCGGGCCTGCTTGTATTGTCTGAGCCTGGCCAAAAGGGACGAGCTTCTTTGGGGGGAGGGCAGGGTCTGTACGTCAGATTGGCACTGATACGTGGAAAATGGAGGTATTGGCAATCAGCTTTTTTGGGTCGATAACACGACCGATAAACGTGGGCAGCCACAACGTGGCACACAGGCAGCCAGGAGCACAGCCTGGCAGCATGGAGAGCAGCCCGGTCTGGCTGGTAAGTCTGTTGGGGAGAGAAGGGGCACGGTGGGGGGCAGATCACGGCCCCGCGGTGAGGGATGGAGTGGGGCTGGGGCAGGAGTGGGGCATAGAATGGAGCCATGGTTCATCTGGGGGGCAGCTTCTACCTCTGCATGTGCCCAGGAAGGGCATGGGGGGCATGTGCCCCCCATATCTGCTCACAGGGTGAGGGTGGGCTGGGGATAGGGGCAGTGCTGGGCTTTTCTTGGCAGGGAGGGAGTGCTGGGCTGGGCTGTGCTGTGCTGGGGTGGGGTGGCAATGCTGGGAGGGAGGGCTGGCGGTGGCTAGAACCACCCCAAAATTCGCTGTAGCTCTGCTCCCAGTGCCACTACCGCGTATCCCAAGCACAGCCCTGGCTCACCTCCTGCCAGGAACAACCCGATACTGCCCCCGGCCCCAGCCTGCAGTGGCAGCCCACCCTCATCCCATGCGCTGATCTGGGGGGTACGTGCCCTCGTGGGATGCATGCAGTGGTAGGAGCTGCCACTCCCTCCCTGCGCCCCCCGACAAACCATAGCTCCATCCCATGCCCCACCTGGCTGGGCAGTGCAACACCTCGCCCTGCCTCGGCCCTAGTGCCAGCTCCACTCTCTCACCGCGGAGGACCTTGATCTCCACACACCCCTTCCCTCCCCCCCATCCCTTCCTCCACAACAGACTTGCCAGCAAGGCTGCATATTGGCAGTTGGATCAGTATCAGCTGACACGGCTTGTTTAAAATCAGCCATTGGTATCAGCCCAAAAAAATCTATCAGTGCACCCCTACTTGACAGTCTGCTGGGGCTTGATGTGGGCACCTCAGTATGCTGTATTTTCTTGCTCTATGAATACCCAAGAGGCTGCTGGAGTGGGTAACATGTCTCTTGTTCTTCTGCTGCAGATCCTCTCTCTGGGTGCTGGCTTCGACTCCCTATATTTCCGCCTCAAGACTGCGGGTCTCCTGAGCCGCACTGTGGTGTATGAGGTGGATTTCCCAAGTGTGGTGTCCCGGAAAGCTGCTCTGATTAGGGGCACAAAGGACTTGGCTATAGTGGTGGGAGGAGGCTGGCATGCGGCTGGAGCACAGGGAAAAGAGAAGGAAGAGGAAGGGGGATGGGAAAGCTGCATATCCACCCTGATTTCTGCCTCACTTCAGACTAACAC